CAGTCAGGCTGAAGTGAATGCATAATTATTATTTTTTTAAACTGTAAAGGAAATTTATTTACTTGAACCAGCTAACCACATAAGAAGTCAAGATCTCCATTTCTGTCCATCTCAAAACCTAAACAGAAAGCCTTTCTGGAAGATGTGAATAGCTTTGACTAAAGCTAAAGTTAACAGAAGCCATGGTATCTAATGGGACAGGTAAACAGTGTCAAATTGAGGGCACTATGGCATGATTTGTAAACTATATATGCATTCAACTATACAAACCAAAGTACCTTTTCTGGTTTTACATGCCCTGAAGTTATGAAAGCTGTCATGTAACTGATACTAAACTACTGCAAATCCAATTGATTTTGATAGAAATGGAGGCCACTCACCATAGAGAACAAGATGAAAAATATCATTGACTTGGGGCAAGTTGTGCTTTATATAGTTTTACAGTAAGAAAATTAGATGTTTCCTACTGATTTATAAAGTATTAGTTATAGAAAACAAACCATGCAAGCCATTTTAAAAGCAAAGAATCTGAAATTTACAATATTATAAAACTTAAACTAATACATTTGGACATTTTTAATGATGAAAAATTAGAAAGCTTAAATAATGCATATTAACACATTGCTTCAAAAAGGAGAAATTTAGCTGTCAGTATTCCAACAGCCACTTGATATATCAAGATTACTCACTGCAAATGTTACATCAACAGGTGCTCATAATAGCCATAATATATGACATGAAAAAATTTATATTGATTCATATTGTATTAAATGTATTGGCAGGAATTATTTTCAAAGATCACACACAAAGGAGATACACATGGAGAGGGCACAGAATCCTTTTCTCAAGATAGCAAAACTCCACTTCTACCTGCATATTTAGGCACCTACATAAAACAGTGTCAGTTTAGCAGAGGTAATCTTTCACAACCTAAAAAGCAGCCCAGCAGAGCTACAAGTTCTAGATGTTTTGGGGAAATCGGGCAACATGCAAGCAGGCCTAAATCCTAAGTATTTGACTTTTTGCACTCGTTTTACAATTTTTATTAATGCAGTGCAAACCTGCTCCGCTCATTTCCTGTCCCCCACGTAATTCCATGTAGTTATTTGCATACACTTTTTCTCAAATTCTACATATGAATGGTATTCATGTGAGTTTGGAAGGTAGCCAAGACTTAAATCAGGTGTAAACTAAAGATGTGGTACACTCATTTGTTTCATGTATAGGAAGAGCATACTGCTGTTACAACACATAAATTAGAAATAGATAAACACCACTTATCTGCATTTCTGTCTAACATCAGCAACACCACAACCACAAACTCTGTACATACGTATTATGAGAAAGAGAAATATGACATTAATGGAAAAGCAAAATAGCTCTGACTTCTTAGGTTTAATTCTGTCCCTTGAAGAAAGCTTGAGGTTGTCCGTCTTCACTCCTAAACTATGATAATACCTCAGCTTCACTGCTGTGGTGTCCCTGCTCATAAACAAATAATTTCATCAGGAAGCTCATCAGACCATGTTGTCCTCATGGCACCTATTCATAAGAACTTGTTGGCAAACATAATTGGATTAATGGCACATATGAGGGAATGAGTCATTATGAACTGCTAAAACAAGGCCTTTTGCAGAACAACTTAAAACATAACATTTTATGATCATGTAGGAGATCTGCTTATGGCTTGTTCACTTCTATAACAGCATACAGGACATACATAAGTTTTGTACAACACATCTCAAGGATAATGTCTTCACTTGCACACAACTATACATTATCTTTGTTTGAAGAAGTGGAAAAGTCCAAGTCAATAAGCTCAAGCACAAAAACATTCAGCTATGAGGCATTCTTTAAACCATAAGTTCACTGCTGTCTGAAAGATCTGGGAGTTCTTTTGCCGAAGAGAGTAACCCTTAGATGCTCTACTACTGGAAGAGCATAGAAGCAGAGCTGAAGTTAGTATGTCAGCGAGTACTTCCATGCACTGTAGAGGCTTTGTTTGTTTGTTTTCCCAAATGGGAAAGGGTGGCGATTTTGTTGTGTCTGCTGGGTTGGTTCTTGGTTTTGTGTTTTTTAAGAGACATGGGTATTTCCAGAAAACAAATCTAATTGTTTGCAGTATAAATCTGAGATATGCACACACACAGTAAAACAGTAGCGTAGAACACAGCGGATCAAAGGATTCAACCCAATGATGTGTATGCATGCATGGTCCAGTTTTACTATATATTGGCACACAGGCTTATTTACATCACTGGAAAGAGTTCCTGAAGACAGAGAACGCAACCCAAAACAAAGGGAAAGCTGGATCCAGGTGAAAACATGATCATACATTACCACAATCCGAAAAGTAAGAGCAAATCACCTAGCTTCTTTAAAAAGCAAGCACATCAACAGATACCAAACATTTCCAATTCCTGACACTGGCTCTTCAGGGTAGCCAAAGTAATAAACAAGAAAAAAAAAAGAAAACCTCAAAAAGAGCAAATTCTCATCTGCAGGGTAGGACACTAAACAGAAAGGTCTGAAACCAACCTGCACCCTGAGGGTGGTGTTCTTGAAGGCCGGAAGTTTTCCAACAGCCTTCCATTCTCATTCAGCAACTGCTAGCTGGAACAAATCTCTGAATCTTCAAGCAAAACTTTTTCTTTCTACTACCTGCAAAACACTACTGCAGCCTCTTCAGGTTCTTACTCTCCAGCCTTCTACCTGCTCCTCACTTCCTCTATCTCACTCTTCCTACCACCCAGCGTCTCACAAAAACTTCTCTCGTGTGCACGCTCGGTCGTTCTCTGGGGAGGAACAATCTTCCCTGCCCTTCAAAGGCTTACCAGCAACAAAGAACACAGGACAAGATCAACAAGCAGCTCCTCCCCTGTTGAGGCACACCCTTATTTAAAAAAAAAGTCTGACCTGCTCTAGATTAACAAATTTACTATTCTGCAATCCACAGAAGAAAGGAAGAACTCCAGACATAAAGGCAATCACCAATACTTTTGTGACCTTTCATTGGTGGTAAATTTGAGGAATAATTAAAAAAAAAAAATCTAGAGAAAGCATGAAAAAATCTCCCATAGTAAAAATCTGACAAGTTTTTGTAGCATGCAAGGAGTGCAATTAGCATACTCTCACAGTCCAGAAGAATCGTTAATACTTGGCTGCCTTAAAAATAACTGTATTTTCAGACAGCAGACTTAAGCTCCACAAAGCATTACTCAACACAGTATGTGTGGTATAAAGCATGGTAGAAATTACCATGTCTTAAAAATATGCATCTGTCATATGCACTTCATTACAAACAAGCATGCACACACACATTCAGGCACTGGAGTGACTACTATTCTCTGTGATAACCCACAAAACAAAGATCCAGAGGAACTTCCAGAACAGGCCATGGGCATTGCAAAACGTAGGAGTGGAAGCGACTTCACTTTTTTAACTCTGAAACAGTAGTCCTGGTTTATGCCTTTATTAGAAAGATGAAGTTCTGCTCTGGACTGTCTTAATCACTGCAAATCTTTAAATAAATCTGTTCACCCTTGGTGCACTTGTGATGGGAGGCAAGAGCTTTGGCCTTAACTTTAGCACTAAGCATACACTTTAACAATATTATATTAATCAAACGAGCAGTTTAAGATCAGATGATGTATGTGTTGCCCAAGGAGCCACATCAAGATTCTGAGGTCAGGGTCAGATTAAGGCACAGATATGACAGATCGGCATCTGCTGAAGCCCCTGCTGTGATTATATAATGTTAAGGGCTTTTAAATAATAAACTGAATTAGTTCTCCAGTCCATACCCCTGTGTAACCTGGAGAACCCTTGAGAGTAAACAAGGAATTGCATGACCTGGTAGGAGTCACCTCTTTCAGGTGCGATTTCTGAAGTCTTAAACTGATCTTGAAATCATTACTTTTATCATTAAAACTAAGCACTTTCGGAAAATATATTTTACAGTGAAGACAGTTTGGACTCTGCAGTCCCAGACTAAAGCAATCTGAAAACATTAAATTGTTATTATGGCAGAAATCAAGGATTAAAGTGCAGGCGGCACTAGAAGAAAGATATAAAAATGGTCCTTACTTCCTCAGTATATCTCCTTATCTCTGCAAGTCATATCTATTTTTTCTCCTAACAAATAAATTTTTATCGTGGCAGCTTTCGCCCTCCAGAGCTAGGACAGACATAGAAAGACAGGCTGGATTCAGCCATGCATCAACCAGCAAGTTCTAAATGCCGAATCTTCTGCAGACTGAAGCAGAAGTAACAGTTTTAATTTTTCAGACTTAAGCTGACTTTGCAGTTCTGGAAGTCAATAAAAATGCTTAACTTGTAAAGTGAGCAGATTTGGTCTGGAAGTCACTGAGAAAAAATAAACATAGTGCTCCCAGCATGTCAGCTTGACAGGGTCACTTTGCTTGTCTGGCCACAATTCTACTTTAAAACTAACCTTTCAGCAGCCACTCAGTTTCAGACATCAATCCTACCACTGTTGAAAAGCAATAGCAAAAATACCCATTGACTTTAACAGGACCAGGATGAGGCTTTTGATAGCACTTATCTTATAAATGATAGTCTTATGACACACAAAATGATCATAAAAAATCTCAGTATGATTTAGACAGGCAGAAAATATCCCTGTTGACCCAAGTCAGATCACTAGAGACCTACGTCCATTTGTTTTCTGTTCAACAAACAGAAGGATTTATGTTGTGTTTTTTTTTTTTATAAACCAAGCAAAGGTTATGATAGAAAACAAAATCTCCTCTGTCTCAGGTGGAATCTGAACATCAGTTTTGTAATAAGCAGCAGATCTCTAACTCTTAACCACATCTAGCAGGCAAGCACAGCCCCCAGACTAAGGCTGCATTTTATGAACTGCGATGGGTCTACACGGAGCTGCAGGTTCTGGGCAATCAGCCTCCAAGGCTGTGGGAGGAGCAATGCAGAAGACATTGCTGAGGCCAGTCTGCAACAGTCACGTGTCCAGCACCGCCATGCCCAAGCCTGTTCAGCGATGGAGCAGCAAGACCCCCTTTTATGTCATTCCTGTGAAGTACTCGCAAAACGCCACTCCTGTCTGCCCTCCAGAAGGTGAGGTAGTAGTCTTATGACTCCTGACATATTCAGGTCATGATATGTGGGCTGCAGGGAGTGTTTTGGTTTCG